CCACCCGCCTCGGCCTCCCAAAGTGCTGGGATTACAGGCTTGAGCCACCGCGCCCGGCTGCATCTGGTGTTTTTCAACAAATACTGAGACTCTCAACACCAGATAGTTATAGGTATTATTGCTGGATGTCTAGTCATGAACTGGGAGTTTCCAATGTGATGGAACTAGCGCCACCAAATGCAGTCAGACATGCCCAGGGAGTCAGTGGTGTGGGCGGAGCAGGGTCCTAAGGCTGTTCACAGTTCCCAAGACATCTTCCTGGAGTTCTTCTCCCCCTGACCTGTTTAAACCTCTGTTTTTTGTGCTCCTCTCCCCACCAAACCGCTCTTTCCCCCCAAAACTCTGAATGCTAGTGGGAAGCATAAATCAAAGAACAATGGATAAAGTGTCGTTTGTCCTCGGATATGCCAGTGCTAAAGCAGTCCACGCTGTAACATTACTAAGAATATCAAAGCATATTCGGAATCACTGAAGTGTGCTGTGTGATTCTGGGGACTTTCCTCATTTTAGGAAGGGATTATTACAACCCCCTCCTAATTGCATTTGGGGATTAGCTCAGAAGTCATCTTCAGGGGCATTAGAGAAGAAACAATCTCCTCCTCTAACGTGTCTCTGGAGTTGCTAAAGGTGAGGGTGGCTGCACATTAAACCATCAGGAGACGTTCCCAAGCACTGCTCAGAAGAGACACTCACCGAGGAGCTCAGAACATTTGTAATGGAAGAGGTTCAACAGGCTGCGATGACAAGGGGCACGTGCACAAAACACCGTGTGACAAAAACAATCCAGATGAGTTCTACACGAATATAGCATTTAATTTAGAATTCTATGACAGGGCTGTCCCTGTGCCTGGTGCAGACGTGCGTCTGTCTCAGTGTGGCCTCCAGGTCACACACATAGGCCTCATCTCTGCAATGCACTGGCCACTTCTGAGCAAGGTCGAATCTTAGTCTTGGGTTTCCTACCGGAGCTAGAAGAGCACTTGGCACACAGTCCGTGCTTGCTGACAGCCTCGCACCGTCACACGGAGCATAGGGGTTAGTAACTAATACAAACGCCTTAAAGAGGGGCCAACTCTTGCCCCATCCTCTGTGCTCTGAGCAACCGCACGCTTAGCTCTCTAGGCTGGCTGTCAGTGGTGAGGTCAGTCCCAAATCCCTCTCCCTCAGCTTGCCCTTGCCTTGCTGCTCTGGCGTGCATGATTGGCTGGTCGTCCACCCCTGTTCTCACCACCTCTGTCTCTGCTTAGTGACCCATCTGCCGTCAGTGGGAAATAGCTCCTGGCACCTGACACAGGGGCAAGCTGATAACTGTGGCTTCTTCTGGAGAGAGCTCCCATTTTAAAGGTGATGTCCCCAGACGATGTCGCTGAATGCTGTATTAATTGAGAATTCATCTAGTTTGGTTTTTCCTTTAGAGATAGAAGAATTACAGCTTTCCGCCCTCATAGGTGCCAGGAGGTGGCAGGTCTAGCTATCCTGCCGCTGGCCTGTCCTCCTGTGGGTCAGACCGGGGCCTGTTCAGAGTGGGGCTCTGACATCTACTTCACCGCTTTTGCCCTCGGCCCTCTCAGACCTGCCCTGAGCTGGGGCACAGGGTGGCTTGGCACTCCCTGTCCAGAGAACCCAAAACTCTCCCCTTGAAGAAGTGGGGTAGGGGCTCATGGGGGCATTCCAGTGGGGACCGTAACTATGGAGGGAGGGTGACGGGCCCATGAATATCTACGGAGCCAGGAGGAGGCCAGCAGGCATTTACTATGAATCATTGCATGGCCAGGACTCTGGTCAGTGCTTCAGGGGACACCAAGAATAACTATCTGTTTAAAACACAGTGCCTGTCCTAGAGGATCCACCAAGTAAGCAGGGACGGGAGACATAGACGTTGGAAACATCAGCACACAGAAGAGAATCATCAGCCAGCAACTGCGTAAGCCCAACGGTAAATGCCGCAGAAACAGAATAACCAACCAGCAACTGTGTTATATTGACTGGAAATGCTGCAGAAACTCAGAATAATCAACCAGCACACTGTGTTATACTGACTGTAAATGCCACAGAAACTCAGAGACAGCAGAGTTAAATATAGATGGAAGAAGTTAAAACCAAATGCTCTCGAAGGATATAGAACTCGACATCAACTTTTAAGGTTGTGAGGTTTCTTCAGTATTGCTCAACAGGACGTCTCAGCTGAAATAACAGCAAAGACACGCATCAGGAATGAGCCCAGAGGGCAGGGCGGTGAGGGCCGCCGACTGCTATGAACATCAGGTGGAAAATCACTTTCACAGCTCCAAATGGACTACTCTCTCAGTGCCAATCTAAAAGTTAAAGAGTTAGAAGCAATCCAGACAACTCTGCCTCAAAAAAGCATTAAAAACAGACTACGCCACAGCAAGATAACCTCATCTTTAGGAAAAAAATTCCCAGAGAAGCAGACTCTGGAATATTCTTCATTATGATGTTCATTATGTTACTAAAAACAGTGGCATCAACAATGTCTCAGAATTCACATTTGTTACCAGATTGGTTATGTGATCATAAGCTACAGAGTGTCAGGACATGGACTTTTATTAAAGAGTTTTTATTAATATGATAAGCTAGTTAATAAGCTAGCCAGTTCACTCCTCGCCTAACCCTAACAAATGACCAACAGGTCAGTTCGCACACTCAGCCTGCTGGCCTCCAGCCTGAGCTGAACTGCTTCAATGGCATCTACTAGGTTAGATACGTTTGAACCACAATGGGCTGACAGAGTTTCTTTTATGATAAGAAAAGGGAAAAGTCTTGGTTGGGACCTTATATAGAATGAAACAATCAGCAAACAATTCTCTGACTGCTTCCTTACCACCAATGATGAACTGGTAGAGATTCCAGTATATCATCAGTACTGTGGATGCTGAGATAAAAGTCATCAGGGCTGACTGAGTGGAGAGGCATCGGATCAAGTAATCACATGCATAAAAAATACAAACACAAAACTCAGGTTGCTCCTGGCACATTGTTTACAATAGAGAAATCTTTTGTAATGTGCATAATCACTTAAAAATAAAGAAAAACGCAACTAATTGAAAAAGTCTAGTATAGACAGGAAAGGAGGAAAAGGAGAGAGGAAGAAGAGCAGGGCGAGGAAAAAAAGAGCAGAAGGAGGGGAAGAGAAGAGGCAGGAGGAGCAGGAGAACGAGGAGCAGGGGGCAGCAGAAAGGGGGAAAGAGAACCAGCTGCAATGAAAACTCTCGTAACTGCTCCTCTGTGCCAACGGCCAATGGCTGCACCAGGTGGAAGCTCAGACAGCACTGCAACTGGGAGAGCATGCAGTTAAAATGTGACAAGTATCAAGTGTCCTTGAATGTTCTAGACCCAATAAAGTGCAGAGTGAGTCAATACTGTTGACCAGATGCCCCCAGATTACAAGAAAGATAGAGTGAGGATCTTCAGGACTGTAGCCTTTTAGATCATTCTGTGTAACGAAGATGAAATGCTATCAGCAGAATCTGGAAGTTGCTTAATTTTTGTTTGGTCCAGAAATGTTAACCGTCATGATGAGATGACCAATGACGATCATACCAGCTGAACCTTCAGCAATCCATCACACCCAGGGAAGTGAATCAAGGAGCATGGCCCATGGTCTTACTCCGTCCAACTCAGTGAAAGTTGTCAACAGCCTGGGCATAGAATTACAACAGCTGAAAGAGCCACTGCAGAAACTGAAGCAGCAATGCCCGGGAGCAACCAATGCCCTTCAGCAACCATGAGAACTGAGCGTGGATCAGTTCCAGTGTGTCTCCAGATTCTCAGCCTTTCATTCCAGCCCCAAACCACTCTCCTCACACTTACCAAGGCCATCACGAAGTGATGCCTGATGGCAGAACTCTGCAAGGGACTGGAAAGCACTAGAGGCTGTGGGCTATATCCTGTAAGGTGTTTGACTGTGGTCTCTCAGGCTCAGGCTATGTGCTTGCCTTAGACCGTGAGCCAAAAGAGCTCCTGCAAGCAGGCCAGGCACAGTGGCTCACGCCTATAATCCCAGCACTTTGGGAGGCCGAAGCAGGAGGATCACCTGAGGTTAGGAGTTCAAGACCAGCCTGGCCAACATGGCGAAACCCTGTCTCTACTAAAAAACACAAAAATTAGCCAGGCGTGGCGGCATGTGCCTGGGGTCCCAGCTACTCGGAAAGCTGAGGCAGGAGACTTGCTTCAACCTGAGGCAAAGGTTGCAGTGTGCGGAGATCAAGCCACGTACTCCAGCCTGGGTGACAGAGTTAGAGTTTGTCTCAAAAAAAAAAAAAAACACCCACTCCTGGAGGCATGAATATGCTGATCTCCATGATCAACTACAGGACTCAATGAAATGTGAGGATTGCCCAAACCACTGTTAATACATAAATGTTAACCTGACAAAGAATATCAACAAGCTGGTTAGTTTAATTAGTAACATTATAAACACAGGACAAGGCAAGAAATAACAAGACGAGGTCCCAGACGAGTGCAGCCTATGACCACCTGGAGATGCGAAGACACATCATGCATTAGCACCTGCCGTAGAGCTCAAGCCAACTCCAAATGGAAGGCAGCGGGCAGAGGCAGCGGGTGGAGGCAGCCAGAGGGCACTCTGCAGCCACCACCACCCCCATTCATGCTACGTGGCTGCCATGTCATTACTTGTGCGGATGACAGCAAACAAGAGAACAGCACAGTTTGAATCAATGTGGACTCAAGACAGAGCTATAAATGGCAACAAGCCTCAAGAAACGCTGACACAGGACAACGGACAGGAGGACAGGGACAGATGCAGGTTATGAGGCAGCCTTTCCAGCAGCAACGAAACCAGACACAGACAGCAACACTGTGAGTGGCATTGTGTACAGTCAAAAATGTTTTTCAGAAGTCATGAAGGTGTGCAGTATAGCTCATTTTATAGTATAGAAGAAAATTGTAAATGTATCCAAAAGTCTCTTAAATTCTTACATTAGAGTAAGTGACAATTTATTGCTTCTAATCCTTACCCAGCCAAAGTTATTTTTGGTGGTCCTGGAAGAGTTGATCCCAAGGGGAAAGCAGACCCGTTGACTACTGATGATAAGGCTCCCTTATCAAGCTGTTCAAAGTCAAAGGCAAGGATATTTTGAATTAGCAAGGATTTTTAAAGTCCTGGTCAGCCAGCCCCTAGATAAAAATGACTCTTTTTTGTTCTAAAGGTTTACATCACAATCCCTTTATAACCATGCCTGGGCCTTATTACTGCAAGGCATCTACTGTCATTGGGCAGGCTCTTGCACCGAGGGTGTGTCACAGGCCTGCCTGGAAGTCTGCGAGGTCGCAGGGCTGGCCTCCATGGGCCCGGAGAGGCTGCCCACAGCTGACACTTGGCTGGCCAGGGGTATTGTCAGAGAACTCCTCTTCATTTTTATAAACTATTAATTGTGAAATAAATTTAATGATAAATTTCCATAAACTAGATAGGTTCTTACATTATGATTATATTCTTAGTGTAACATAAGAGGTCTTGACATTTGAAGTTTTGTGGGCAACCATGATTTTTCATGTATTCAAAAAAAATATTTTGTAACCAGTTTTGACAAATTCAAAAGCAATGTCATCATCTCTGCATCATCTATGTTCTTTGCTATCCCTGGCCTCATCTTTCTTTTCGTTACTCATTAGCATGGCCTGCGGAGGCTGTTCACAGGGAAGGAATAGGCAACAAAGCCATCACTGGCCTACTTTTCTTCTAAACGGTAGCTTGAAAACATTTAAAGTATTAGATACAATTAGGTTTTCAGATTATTTGCATATATCACAGTTAAACACCATATCCTTGTCCCCTCCCCTCTCCTCTCCAGAAATGTCCCCTCCCCTCTCCAAAAATGGAAATTTGTCTTTAAATAAATTTATTTTTAAAGCTTTAGGAAGTACAGTCTTTTTTTTCTTTTTTCTTTTTCTTTCTTTTTTTTTTTTTTTTTGAGATAGAGTCTCACTCTATCACCAGGCGCCAGGCTGGAGTGCAGTGGTGTGATCGCGGCTCACTGCAACCTCTGCCTCCTGGGTTCAAGCAATTCTTCTGCCTCAGCCTCCCGAGCAGCTGGGACTACAGGCACACACCACCATGCCCAGCTAATTTTTGTATTTTAGTGGAGATGGGGTTTTACTATGTTGGCCAGGATGGTCTCGATCTCTTGACCTTGTGATCTACCTGCCTCAGCCTCCTGAAGTGCTGGGATTACAGGCATGAGCCACCCCTCCCAGCCTAGTAAGTACAATCTTAGAAAAAAACACACATTGTATTCAGCCTCTGCACTTCTTCTCTTCTGTGCCCTATTTCACCTGCGTGTAGTCACCATCCATCAGGGCTGGAAGACACTGAGAAAGTCCCCTGAGTCCAGCTGCCTCATTTACAGTCAGTCTGGAGTCCCCTGGGCTTCTCCCCACAAGAACCTCCTTCCTGCTCTCCTCTTACGCACCGAAGAGTGCTCACGAGGCCCTGGGACTGGTGTCTCTTTTGCCCTCACCTGGACATCGAATTGTGAGGCCCATGTCTTCAAATGCCAGTCTGAAGAGTTTTGCATTCTTCTGGAGAAGGATGTCATAATTCTCAGGGTTGAGGCAATTACTCCCATAAACCAGGTAAAATTACTTTTTTCTCCCTTTGCTTATTTAGCCCCAAAGTAAAGCAGAGACGTCTGTTAGATACTCCATAGATTGTCAATCCAGGGCAACTTTATGCTGGAATCCATGAGTTTCTTCAGCAATGTTTGGTCCCCTTGGAGTGAAGGAAGTCAACTCAGAGGCAGAGCTTTTCGGACTCTGCTGTGTGCACAAGTCACCCAGGGCCCGTATGAAAATGCAAATCTGATTCAGGGGGTTCTGCACTTCTTAACAAGCTCGCAGGTGATGCCAACAGTTCTGGCCCACACACCACACTTTCAGTGGTAACACTCCAAAGAATATACGGAACTGGGGTCTGGCGAGGAAGCAAAGGATTCTAGGGAAGCAGCAAAGTCATTGCTGAAAGAAATGTCCTTGAGGGCCATGCTAAGAGGACAAAATGGGGATGATAATAAACACAGTCAAGGCAAGACGGGGGAAGGTGGGGAGACAGCAAGCTGTGGCCAAACAGGTGTTTCTCATGCAAGGTCTTAGAGGTGAAGGAGCAAGTGCAGTGTGTGCCTTCTGGGCTGGTGGCTGAAATAGCAGAGGAAGGCAGGCCAGCAGCGTGGAGGGGGCCCGAAAGCAGGAGGGGTCTACGCAGTTCCAGCAGACTCCACCTGGGTGCTTGCCAGATCCCAGCTTACACTCACCTCCTGCACTGATAACACTCTCTTTTCTCTTGACCAATGTATCACTGGAGAAGTATTTACTCACTCATTCAACAAATACCTAACTCAATTTATACTCACTCCCTTTGAGATCTCATCTACTCACATGGCTTTCAACACCATCTACCAACTAGGACTCCCAATCTCACCCCTCCTGCCCAGCCCTTCCTCACTCTAACTCCTACACAACATCTTCTGAGGCATCCCAATTTTAATATGTCCAGATAGAACTCCTAGACTGCCCTGAGAAATTTGTACCATCTCATCTCTGTTGATAGAAATGCCAACTCTCCATTCATCCAGGCTGAAAATCTTGGGGGCATCCTTGACTCCTCTCTTTCTCTCACATCCCACATCCAATCCATCAGCAAATCCTGTTGGCTCAACCTTCAAAGTATCCCTAGAAGCTATTTCTTGCCACCTCCCCTGCCACCACCTGATGTGAGCCATCGTCTCTCCCCAAGATTATTGCCGTAACAGGCTCACCTTTCTCCTTAACCCCTCCTCCCCCACAGCCCATCTTTAGAGTGGAAGCCACAATTCTTCCAATGTCTTGACCTCCTCCCTGACCCCTCCCCTAGCTCACACTGTCCCAGCCCCAGTGGCCTCCTCCATGCTACCACAGCAGGCATGACCCTATCCAAGGCCCGCCTGCGATGTTTCACAGCTTGCTTCACACGGCTCCTTCCCCCATCTCTTTAAAGACTTTGCTCAAATGTCACCTTCAAAACGGAGGCATGATCACTCTTTTTAAACCTGTAACTAGTGTTTTTATCCATCAAACAAACCCCCATCCCCCAATCCCCTTCCTCTGTTCTCCTACCATATGATGTAATTGGCTTCTTGACTAGATTTGCTAATTGTCTCTCTGCTGCACTAAAAGGTAAGCTGCAGGAGGGCAAGTTATGTGTTTTGTTTTCTGGGGTTCACTTAGCTCAGAGGTCAGTGCCCACTCTTATTGAAGGGTGAGTGGGTGCCCTACATGGGCCAGGCTTTGTGCTGATTCTCAGTTTACAGTGATGAATGAGACACACATGGCCTCTGGCCCCATGGAGCCTGCGTTCTCATGGCTGGATGCAGACAGACCAAGCAACCACAAAGCGCAAGACAGCGAAAGCACCGGGCAGAGCAGGAGACAGTGAAAGCACCGGGCAGAGCAGGAGACAGTGAAAGCACCGGGCAGAGCAGGAGACAGTGAAAGCACCGGGCAGAGCAGGAGATGGCGAGAGCGCCGGGGGCAGAGCAGGAGACTGAGAGAGTGCCGGGCAGAGCAGGAGACAGCGAAAGCACTGGGCAGAGCAGGAGACTGCGAGAGCGCCGGGGGCAGAGCAGGAGACTGAGAGAGCGCCGGGCAGAGCAGGAGACAGCGAAAGCACTGGGCAGAGCAGGAGACAGCCAGAGCGCCAGGCAGAGCAGGAGACAGTGAAAGTGCCGGGCAGAGCAGGAGACGGTGAAAGTGCCGGGCAGAGCAGGAGACGGTGAGAGCGCCAGGGGCAGAGCAGGAGACAGCGAGAGCACCGGGCAGAGCAGGAGACAGCACTGTGACCGTGATTGGTGGTCTCCGGTAGGGAGTTAGGGATGGTTCTTCTGGGGAGGTGATGCTTCACAGCAAGACTGGAGAAAAAGAGCATATTTGACCTCTACTTATCTGTAATGCACGCATATCATGGTGTGGTCATAAAAGCAAACTTTACAAAAGCATTTCCACAGCACTGAGGAAGGTGAGGAGTGTTCTGGACTGAGGAGGTGGTACATGCTGCTGGCAGGGCCACAGAGAGTAAGTTACAAGTATGGCAGGATGCCAGTCTGGAGGCTGCAGGAAAGGGCAAAAGGGCTGCATCAAGTTGGTGAAGAATCATTGTGTTGAGACTGTCTCCAGCCCAAAGTCTGATGCAGTGGAGCAGGGACTGAATACTTGGTAAGTGTTTCACTGTTGATTTTAAAATGGAAAATAAATTCTATTTCCTGAGTAATTCCAACTGTAACAATCAAAATTTTAAGAGACAATAATGCCCAATTGTATTTTTTAAATTAAAATAATGACTCACTTGTTGTGTAATGAGATTTAATTTTGCTGGTACTGGCAAAAATCTTCCTACTAAAGCAGTCATTGGTTTAGGGACATCTGTAAGGAAGACAATGAAAAATCAATCATAGTATACATCGTTCCTCTTCCACTTACACAGGGAAGAAAGTACCGACGTCTCTTATGAACGTATCCTGTGCAAAGTTATTTAACTTATTTAACTTATCTTGATCCTAGTTATGTTTTTATTCTCTGAAACCTTTCGAGTCAGCAAATTTTTATTTTACTTAATACACTCATGTTTCTTTTTTTTGTGGAGGATGGTCATAAAGCTACTTGATCTGAGCTTCCATGGACAGTCCTACTATTCTAAAACAATGCTGTTAGTGCTCTGGTTCCCAAGCTGTGTGCCAAAGTGCCCCAGGTGCTGCAGCGAACTCACAAGGGCAGCACTGGATTAAAAATATTTTTTCGATATAGGGTCTTGCTATGTTGTCCAGGCTGTCTTCAAACTCCTAGGCTCAAGCAATCCTCCTGCCTCAGCCTCCCAAGTACCTGGGCCTATAGCCACACCCAGCTTCTACTGGATGTTTTGTTTTGTTTTGTTTTGCTTTTTTGAGATAGGGTCTTGCTCTGCTGCCCAGGCTGGAGTGTAGTGGCACTACCACGACTCACTGCAGCCTTGACCTCCCAGGCTCAAGTATCTTCCTTCCTCAGCCTTCCAAGTAGCTGAGACCACAGGTATGTGCCACAATGCCTGGCTAATGTTTTCATTTTGTGTAGAGACAGGGTCTCACCTTGTTGATCCGGCTGGTCTTAAAACTGCTGGGCTCAAGCTATCCTCCTGCCTGGTCTTGCAAAGTGCTGAGATTACAGACGTAGTCACCACTCCAGGCCAGTATTTTATGTTTTCAAAGGAAGCCCAAAGACATCTATTGGATACCATATGAACTACATTTTTTTTTTAGATATGGTCTCAGTCACCAAGGCTGAAATGCAGTGGCATAGTGGCGTGATCTTGGCTCACTGCAGCCTCGACCTCCTGGGCTCAAGCGATTCTCTCACCTCAGCCCCCCAAGTAGCTGGAACTACAGGGGCACACCAGCACACCCAGCTGATCTTTTTGTGTTTTTTGTAGACACAGGGTTTCACCATGGGGCCCAGGCTGGTCTTAAACTCCTGAGCTCAAGTGATCCACCTGTGCCAAAGCGCTGGGATTACAGGCATGAGCCATTGCATCTGGTACTACTTTCAATTTATGTGTATTCCTGTTTTTCTACATGGTTACTAAGCTGTTTGGATATAAATACTTACTAAGCTATTTAGAACAAACTACTTAATACTGGAACTGACAGGTACTTCTTTGGTTTCCAAGTGCCATGAAAAACATTCTTGAAACACTAAGGGTACGTAAGCCTCTGTGCTCATGAGTTCAAGCAGAAGGAGAAATGTGTCTTACTCTCCTGAAGTACCTGAACGCATTTCCTTCTCAGGCCTAGGCATCCTTTGAGTGAGGAAACTCAGACACAGGCAACAGGGTGCATGTATTTATGGTGATGTTTAATATGGTGCACAGCATAATAAAGGAGATGCAGGTGTGGGGGATGATAATATTATCAGGAAATTGAACTGGAAAAGATTATATAAACCTCTCTTCCTGCAGACTTTAAGGCACCAGGATTTTGTCATGTGCCAGGAGGAAGGGGAGCAGTAAAGACCTTCTTGCTGCCTGTAGCCATCACAGATGCAGCACTGAGTTAAACAAAATGAGGCCAAAGCCCCAACCTCAACTTCTTCACCGTGAAAAAGGAAATGTCTTGAGCATATTTATTCTGTCCCTGGATAGGGAGACAATCAGGATGCAATGGAGAGATAAGAAGTCACACGTTGTCCTTTTGCCCCGGACTTCAAGGCCAATGAAACTATACCTGGATTTGCTATTGGTTTCAAGCTGTAGGCAAGGTCAGCGAATCATCTGACCATGCGCACCCTCGTTAACTCAAGATCTAGACTAATTGATCAGTGCAGTCCACATAGAGAGGCCTAGTTTTCAAGAATTAGCATCTCACTTTTGTTCAACACAATCCTAAAATATGTCATTGACTCTTTCTCTAATCATCCATAAGGCGTTTCAGAACAATCAAGTACTTACAGGTCATTTCTCACTATTGTGCCAGGTTAAGAAAGTTTCTTAGTGAATGAATGTCAGATAAATCATTTGACAGTTATTTCAGAACTCATGGTGATTAAAGCAGAATGATAGTTCTCATTGATTACCCTGAAATGTTTACATTAAAATGTAGGCTTTTTTTTTTTTTGAGACGGAGTTTCACTCTTGTTACCCAGGCTGGAGTGCAATGGCGCGATCTCGGCTCACCGCAACCTCCGCCTCCTGGGTTCAGGCAATTCTCCTGCCTCAGCCTCCTGAGTAGCTAGGATTACAGGCACGTGCCACCATGCCCAGCTAATGTTTTGTATTTTTAGTAAAGACAGGGTTTCACCATGTTGACCAGGATGGTCTCGATCTCTTGACCTTGTGATCCACCCGCCTCGGCCTCCCAAAGTGCTGGGATTACAGGCTTGAGACACCGCGCCCAGCCCAAATGTAGGCGTTTTATACCACACCTCAAGTCAACCCATCAAGTTAACCTGGGAAAGGCAGATGTTTCAATCTAGGCACATCTAGGCACACCTACTTGTGAAACTCTTAACAACGCAGTGTTGGTCTGAGTCGTCACCTGTTAGGATCACAAAACTCTCAGCAGCTAGGGGACATGAAGGACAACTATCCAAGAATTTGAGACAGTCAGTACAGGGTATAAAAATTAGTCTATAATATATATAGTTGCCGGGTGCGGTGGCTCACGCCTGCAATCCCAGCACTTTGGGAGGCCGAGATGGGTGGATCACGAGGTCAAGAGATCAAGATGCCAGGTGCGGTGGCTCAAACCTTTAATCCCAGCACTTTGGGAGGCCGAGGCGGGTGGATTACGAGGTCAAGAGATCGAGACCATCTTGGTCAACATGGTGAAATCCCGTCTCTACTAAAAATACAAAAATTAGCTGGGCATGGTGGCGCGTGCCTGTAATCCCAGCTACTCAGGAGGCTGAGGCAGGAGAATTGCCTGAACCCAGGAGGCGGAGGTTGCGGTGAGCTGAGATCGTGCCATTGCACTCCAGCCTGGGTAACAAGAGCGAAACTCCGTCTCAAAAAAAAAAAAAAAAAAAAAAAATATATATATATATATATATATATGTGTATATATATGTGTGTATATATATGTATATATATGTGTGTATATATATGTGTATATATATGTGTGTGTATATATGTATATATATGTGTGTATATATGTGTATATATATATATATATATATATATATATATATAGTTGTCTATTCTTAGCTTACTAATATGGACTACAAGGTTTGCCAAATTGCCTATTTAATAGCCTAGTTGCCCATTTCACTTTATATACAAAGCCAAACATATTCACTTACCAATTTACATATATGACATAATTTTTAATTAATTAACTTTGTACCTGACTGTAGATAGCTATTTTGATCTTGATACTGAGGAACCAAGTGGAGTGCTTTTAGTTCTCTTGTTCCAGAATTGTCTATACACAGCATTTGTGTGCCCCCTTTCAACTGGCATATTACCTAAAATGAAAAAGAATGAACAGGTTTTAGTTTTAACATAACTCCAGTAATAATGGTCCTAAATAAACTTAAATCTGGGAAAATAGCTTTAATCCAGAAGTTATATTTTAATAGAAGATGGAAAACTGCCGGGCGCGGTGGCTCAAGCCTGTAATCCCAGCACTTTGGGAGGCTGAGGCGGGTGGATCACGAGGTCAAGAGATCGAGACCATCCTGGTCAACATGGTGAAACCCCATCTCTATTAAAAATACAAAAAAGTAGCTGGGCATGGTGGCACGTGCCTGTAATCCCAGCTACTCAGGAGGTTGAGGCAGGAGAATTGCCTGAACCCAGGAGGCGGAGGTTGCGGTGAGCCGAGATTGCGCCATTGCACTCCAGCCTGGGTAACGAGAGTGAAACTCCATCTCAAAAAAAAAAAAAAAGAAGATGGAAAACTACAGATCTGTTTTTGATTTCTTACCCTACACTAACATGCTCTTTGGAGATACTGAGGGGCAAAAGAAACTCCCAGAAATGTTTCCTCAGATGCGTTCAGTGTGCTCCTGCGCCTGTCTTTCTCCGCAGGTGTCTGACCTTTGAGAGGTAATTTGGGAATCAGGTAGCTGCCTTTGCCCTGTCCTCACTCCATCACTGACATGAGCAGAAGAGAGTCCTGCTCTACCGAGCACTGGCCCATTTGGACCTTGGCGGGCACTGAGGCCCTGGGCACGCACTTAGAGTCCTCTGTAATTTTACTCCAGCTGCTCTTTCCTGCCACACACAGGTCGTTATTTAATACATGGGGTTAAAAAAAACATCTTTTTTATTTCCTACAAGCACATCTAAAAAGGTTAATCTAATCCAAGAACTGTAAAGTTCTAAGAAGCCACATTGATCTGCTTGGGCCTGAGCAGCACTGTCAGACCCCCTTTGTTACTGACTGTAAATTACTGCTCGTGAGCTGGTGAGTCTGCCAGGCCATCCCCTCAGTCAAGCAAAAGCACTGAGGAAACTCACTGTGTGCCCAGCCCTGCTTCAGGCCTTGGTGCATGGGGATACAAAGGCAAGAGATGCCATGGTTTCTTGTTGCACACAGCTTCCAATTTTGCTGGCAGACCACAACTACACAGAGAAGTTGTACTTTATATAATTACATTGCTTAGAATCTAGAGAGGAGAACCCAAATAATCATAAAAGACCAATGTTATTAAAGTAATACACATAGGGCCTACTATGGTAGCCAGGTGCAGGTCACTGGGTCAAAACTCCACGTCATCCTGACATTTGATGACAGGCCAGCATTCATGTTCAATTGGAGTTTTATTTGATTTTGGAGCATAAGGTTAGAGCTACACAGACACACACACACACACACACATACACACAGGAAAGGCTTGGTGAACTCTGCAGACCTGCCTCTACTGCACACTTCTGGGCCCTGCCCACAGGGGAGCCTCTGCCCTGCCCTCTGGGGAGTGTGCTAACATCACTCTATGGTCTGGGGAATCGGAGAGTTCTCATCCTGCTGATCTGCTTTTGGGGTACTAGAAAAACTGCTATCAGAACCCATGGCCCCAAATAGAACCACTGACAGAGAGGCAAGTGGTAGTGCACACCACAGCTAAGCCAAACTCGTGATGGGCTTGTTTTCAAGTATTTGCTTGTTAAAGTCTATGCCTTAGAGCTAGGGCCTCATTTCTAGGAATACAAAATTGCTGGGGAAAGGCAATTATCGGTTCTTTGGACTCTTGGCACTTTGCTAAGGGAATGCAGGGGGTGAGGCTCCTCCCACTCCTAGCCCTTGCCGCAGTGAGACATGGAGTCCTAGATGCACCACTTAACTATGAAGAACAATGTAGATGATGTAGTATCTCTGTTTTCTTACCAATAAACTGGGGATAAAAATAATAACTATCCTACAGAGTTGTTAGGAGGATTAAATAAAGGTGCAAAAATATTACATAAACTACAGCTGTACCTGATTATGTATCCTATGCAAGTGTTACCTGTTCTCATGAGAGATTGGGAGGCACAAAGGAAGCAGCCTCTGAAGCCACAGAACTGCACCCCGTCACCAATACTCCAAACTGCGAGGCTCAGCTGAGTCCCTGGCCCCCAGCACTGCATTGACTGATGTGATTTGTGCTTACTCTCCTTAACGAATACAGAAATGTCCTCATCATTGTTCCATTTGCTAAGATGGAGTAGAAATGAGAATCTTAGAGGTGAGATGTGAAAGGTTCTAGCTGATGTCCTTGTTTTGCTAATGAGGACAACCAAAAATGCTGGTCCAACACATACACAAAATGAAAAACGACGGAAACCATCTGTCAACTGAGTCATGATGGGGTCCGACATTTAATATAATGTTAGTCCTACACATCTTCTTTGGCATCAATTACCATTGGGTTGGAATCTTTCTTATGAGAACAGCAGGAGGTGTCCTCTGGTTCCTGGGACGATGGGAACTTGCAACAGGATTCCTGAGCAAGAAGATTCTGGAAAGTTGCTTCTTCCTGATTATTACTTGTGATAGTACCACCTGCTTCCTTGATTTCAACCTAAAAAAAAAGCAATCATGATTTTAGAGAACACATCGTGGTCCCTGGCTCTTCCAGTTGCATAATCTAGAAGACTGAAACTCAGTTGTAAGTAAAAGCGACATTTTAAAGAAAAAGAGTACCCTTACTTTGTGCCTCTTCCTCACTGGTGCTTATAAAACTATTTTTTTCTCCCTGTGGGGGGCAACAAGAAGGACTGACGAATCATCGGACCCACCTCCCTGGGGGCTTAGGACTCCGAGGACCAAAACCAGCTGCCCATGAGGGGTGAAGATGTGATTTTCATGTGGCACTTGTGTGGTTTTCAAAATACACCCAAGTAACTGGGAGGAGTCCCCTGCTGGTCGTCTGCCTCTCGTGCTACTTAACACTGCCCCACTCTAATGAGCAGAAGGCCTGCTCTTCTTTCAAGTCACCTAAAATGCTGACCCTGACATCACACTTTTTTTTTTTTTTTTTTTTTTTTTTTTTTCAGATGGAGTTTCGCTGTTGCCCAGGCTGGAGTGCAGTGGCGCCATCTCAGCTCACTGCAACCTCCACCTCCCGGGTTCAAGCAATTCTCCTGCCTCAGCCATCCAAGTAACTGAAATTACAGGCTCACACCACCACGCCCAGCTAATTTTTGTATTTTTTTTTTTTTTTCTTTTTGAGACAGAGTTTGGCTCTTGTCACCCAGGCTGGAGTGCAATGGCGCGATCTCGGCTCACCGCAACCTCCTGCCTCCTGGGTTCAGGCAATTCTCCTGCCTCAGCCTCCTGAGTAGCTGGGATTACAGGCACGTGCCACCATGCCCAGCTAATTTTTTTGTATTTTTAGTAGAGACGGGGTTTCACCATGTTGACCAGGATGGTCTCGATCTCTTGACCTCGTGATCCACCCGCCTCAGCCTCCCAAAGTGCTGGGATTACAGGCTTGAGCCACCGCGCCCGGCCCAATTTTTGTATTTTTAATAAAGACGGAGTTTCACCATGTTGGCCAGGCTGGTCTTGAACTCCTGACCTCGGGTGATCCACCTGCCTTCGCCTCCCAAAGTGCTGAGATTATAGGCATGAGCCACCTCACCCGGCTCCATCACACATTCTTCTACCATGCTCAGTAGTTCAAATTAAATGTTCTAGTTGATTATTTTTTCCTCAAAAAGTCCAAAATCCTTGGTGCTGTTTTAATATTATTTATTATGTGCTTATAGTAAGATTTGTAGCTAGGTAGTAGCTCTTTCCTGCCTTAGTAATAGGACATTAACAAATATGAAACAGTGGAAAGTAGGGAGTGGTTTCCAGCTTTGTTTTCAAGCTATCTTCTGTAACTACTGTCAACTCAATGACAAAATTACCAAAAATATGGAGATATACATGGTTAATACTGAAAATCAACAGAATTTTTTTTTTTTTTTTTTTTTTTTTTTTTTGAGACAGAGTCTTGCTCTGTCGCCAGGAGCCAGGCTGGAGTGCAGTGGTGCAATCTCAGCTAACTGCAATCTTCGCCTCCTGTGTTCAAGCAATTCTCCTGCCGCAGTCTCCCGAGTAGCTGGGACTACAGGCGTGCGACCACCACACCCAGCTAATTTTTGTAGAAAATCAATAGAATTCTTAAAAGAAGTCCTCATGGTTAAAAAAAATTACCATCTGGATTGTTTCAAAATTGGGATGAGGAGGACTGGGAAGCCCACACTTTGCACCCTCTCCCACCCCTCCTCCTCCACCTGCACTGCACCAGGCTGCGAGCACCAGACCACAGCGAGTCTCTCCAAAGGCCAGGAGGCAGGCCATAGAGTCCTTTCCAAAAAGACGGTGGCTCTCAGGTAACATATTAAAGACCTCACATAAAAATCACAGAGCAGGCTGGGCGCGGTGGCTCAAGCCTGTAATCCCAGCACTTTGGGAGGCCGAGGCGGGTGGATCACGAGGTCAAGAGATCGAGACCATCCTGGTCGACATGGTGAAACCCCGTCTCTACTAAAAATACAAAAAATTAGCTGGGCATGGTGGCGCGTGCCTGTAATCTCAGCTACTTAGGAGGCTGAGGCAGGAGAATTGCCTGAACCCAGGAGGTGGAGGTTGCGGTGAGCCGAGATCGCGCCATTGCACTCCAGCCTGGGTAATGAGAGTGAAACTCCGTCTCAAAAAAAAAAAAAAAAAAAAAAAAATCACAGAGCAGGTATCTTCCTTTAAAAAAAATTATATATATATATATAGATTTATAACTTTTTAAAAAAATTTTAACTTTATTTTAATTTTTAAAAAATTGCCTGACTTGGCCTCCCAAAGTGCTGGGATTACAGGCGTGAGCCACCACGCCTGGTCGCAGGTATCTTCCAAACTGCAGCTCTGAACTTCAAATTGGAGATTGTCTAGCCCAATAAAATCAGAGGCCCAAACAAATCATAATTCCCATGTATGGGCAAATTACTCAGCACCGCAGACTAACATCTAGGTATAAATCTTAAAAGAAATAGTTTAGCTATATTTTAAGTAGCTTTAAATTTCATAGAAATACAGACAAGTTAACATTTTCTTCTATGGGCTGCTTTGGGGGATGTGCTATGCACATCATCCCAGTTTAGCTTTAACTTATCTCCCTGTAATCACCGAGTGCTGCTGTAATAAATATACCATTTCCTCAGTCCCAATGCAACTAATATCTGAACTACTTCTAGTAAAATTCCATTTCCGACCTTTCAAAACAAAGGTCAATACGTGGGAATGAATTTCTAGAAAAGAGAAATTAGCAATTTACCCTGAATATTTACTGGAAATAATTCCATTCTCTTTAACAATAAACATACCCGTGCTGTATCTGTTTCATTTTATTAATGAATCAGAAAACAGTCAACAAAAATTTAAAAAGCAAAGTCTCTCCTTTAGTTTGTTAAACCAGCAATCTCTTAAAATTGGATTGCATTAAAAAGAACTTTACTATCTTTAAATCAGCAAATTCTCTTTTTTGTTTGTTTTTGTGAGACGGAGTCTTGCTTTGTTGCCCAGGCTGGAAGTGCAGTGGTGTGATCTCGGCTCACTGCAGCCTCCTCCTCCTGGGTTGAAGAGATTCTCCTGCCTCAGCCTCCTGAGTAGCTGGGATTACAGGTGCCCGCCACCAAGCCCGACTAATTTTTGTATTCTCTTCCTTGTTCTGATTAATGCTTGCCAACTCCACCCGGTGAGGAAGAGCCGAGCTAGGACCTACCGGTAGGAGGCGCTAAACATGAGTCCTGTACATTAAGGAGTGGCAATTACCAGAAAACCAGAAGGGCAGAAAGCCAGGCTCCGGCTGCTCTGGTTTATGATACACGGCCAGGCTCTAGCCATCTCAACACTGACTCCAACGTGTCCCTCAAAGGCTTCATCTCCAGCTTACTGAAATGACTTAATGCATGAGTGGTCTAGTTTTCCAAGCTAGGTCCTTTTTAAGGGGTCAAGAACACATTTTACCGGGACCTTTTGTTGCCTTTGAAAATTGATTAGTTCTAGCAAGAACAAGGCGGAAAAAGATCAGTGGTCCACCTACAGCTAGAGAGGGCAGTCGGCTGAGAGTGGGCAAGCTTTTCTTCAGGCCCTGATTTACATCACATATGCTTGAAGAACCATTACTTATTAGCAGAGGGAAGATGTCACATCTTGCCTTCAAGGCTCAGCAAATCCAAGTATTAACTCTGAGTCCTTGCTGTGGATTCCAAGCCTGATAAAGTTAGAAAAACGCAAGATGCAAACACGCCAACAGCCCACCACATTGCGTTTGTTTACACACGCTGGTTACCAGCAGAAAGGGGGTCTCTCTCCTTAAGCCAAGGATAGCAGCAGGGCCCGAGGGAACACACGTCCTAGCGTTCTCCCTCCTTATCCGTTGCCCGCCCTCTGCATGGTTAAGCCAGCTTCGGACGACTGGCGCAGGGCAGAATCCCACCCAGGGGGAAGGGCTTGGCTGGGCCGACGCATGTTGGATTAGGAAGAGTATACGGACTCCGGTGGGCTGTGTGCGGCGTCACCAGGGAAAACGCTAGGAGGGAGAAATGCTGGGGCAGACCAGCAGCCTCAGATAGGCTGGGGAAGGGATGGGGGGAGAGCTGTGCCCATTCCCCAGGCGACTCTTACTGGGAACACCCGGACGCCCGGGTGGGCGGCTCCTTCCCGGACCCAGGCGCCCAGGGGCAGCACCGCGGAGCCGCGGTGCGGGGGCAGCAGCGAGGACAGGAAGTGCACGTTGCAGGTGGGCGGCGGCGGGGCCTGCAGGAGCGCGACGTCCTCCAGCGCGCCGAGCTCGGGGATCCCGGCGTCGTCCCCGAGGAGCTCCCCGCCGTCGCCGTCGGCTCCCGGGAGCTCCGCCTTGACCTGGCCCTGGCAGTCGGCGCCCAGCGCGGCGTTGAACGCTTGCAGGAGGGGCTCCTTGGGGTCCGCCGGGCCCAGGTACGCGTCTTTGAAGACGTGGAACTCGTCCTCCTCGTGCTTCACGGGGGCCTTCAGGCCGAGGTTCTCCGAAACGAACGGACTCTCGGCGTTGAAGAGCTCGGTCACCATCGCGTCCTCCGGGCTGGGCAGCCCGCCCACCAGAGGGCCCTCCTCCATGGCGCAGCGCAGCGGGGCAGGAGGGCGAGGGCCGCGCGCCTGCAACACGCGGCCAGGTGAGAGGCGGCCGGGTGCGGGGACCCGGGAAGGGGGCGGTCAAGTGAGGGGTGGCAAGAGGAGAGGAGGGGCAGCCAGGGGAGGGGTGGGCCGGGGAGGGGGCCAGATGAGGGGCGACCAGGTGGGGGGACCAGAGGGGGCCAGGTGAGGGGGAGGAGCGGCCAGGGGAGGGGGGCCAGGGGAGGGGCGACCAGGGATGGGGGGCAGGTGAGGGGCGACCAGGTGGGGGGGCCAGGGGAGGGGGGCCAGGGGAGGGGGCCAGGTGAGGGGCGGCTAGAGGAGGGGGACAGAGAAGGGGGGCAGGTAAGGGGCGGCCACGGAAGGGGGCCAGGGGAGGGACGACCAGGTGAAGGGAGACTAGGTGAGGGGCGGCCAGGTAGGGGCGGGCCAGGTAGGGGCGGGTCAGGGGAGGAGGGACCAGGGGAGGGGCGGCCGGGGGAGGAGCGAGCAGGTGAGGGGAGAGCGGCTGAGGGGCGGCCGGGGAGGGGCGACCAAGTGAGGGGCGGCCTCGCCCACCGCCCACCGCCCACCGCCCACCGCCCACCGCCCACCGCCCACCCGCGGGGTCCTGGCCCGGCCCGGCCGCCCCCTCCTCCTGCAGAGCCGAGGCCAGACCCGCGGGCCGCTCCGTCAGGCTTCCTGGGAGGGAGGCACCTGGGGCCCGGGGCTGCCGCTGCGCGGAGGAGCGAGCAGGATGCGGCGCGGGCCCGGCCTCAGGCGCTGGCGGCCGTTGGCGGTTGGGGAAGGGGGCGGGGCTAGGGGCGGGGCCAGGGCGTGGGGCGGAGTCGAGGTGGGGCGGTAAAGGCGGGGCCGGGGAGCTGAGTGGTGGGCGGGGCCAGAGGGTGGGCGGAGACAGGGTCGCGAGGGGCGGGGCCTGAACGGCGGCGGTTGCCGGAGGGGGCGCGGAAAGCGCTCCCAGGGCTCGGCTGCTCCAAGCTCAGGTGGGGAAACTGAGGGCCTCATCGACTCGGGCAGCGCTAAGTCAAGCAGTGCCTAGCTTGACTGTGGGTTACAAAATATATTTTTCTGGCTGGGCGCGGTAGCTCACGCTTGGGTGCTGAGGCTGGTGGATCACTTGAGATCAGGAGTTCAGAACCAGCCTGGACGACATGGCGAAACCCCGTCTCTACTAAAGATACAAAAATTAGCTGGGCGTGGTGGCGGGCGCCTGTAATCCCAGCTACTCGGGAGACAAGCGGGAGAACCGCTTGAACCGGGAGGCGGAGGTCGTAGGGAGCAGAGATCGCGCCACTGCACTCCAGCCTATGTCACAGAGCGAGACTTTGTCTCAAAAATGAAATAAAAAGAAGCTACTCGCGAGGCTGAGGCTTGAACCTGGGAGATGGAGGTTGCCGTGAGCTGAGGTCGTGCCACTGCACTCCAGCCTGGGCGACAGAAAAAAGCAAAGTCGCCAAGTACAATGAAAGTCTTAAATTTGGGGTGTGGAATGAGCTATTTCATCTTTAAGGAGTCAATAGGTATCACTGCTTCATCAAGAAAAGAGGCGGAAGTTTAGTTCAAGTGGTGGTGGAAGCTGCCAAAGGGTTAAGAGGGGCCGGCAGGAGTGAGTGCTGGGGACGCGGCCTCAGGTACTGTTTACCAAAGCAATGTAAGTACTGTTTTGGTAAAAATAAAAAAAGTAAAACATCAGCTTTCTAATCTCACTTTTAAAAATGAAACACTTTTCTAAATTATTAAAGGGTAGTACCCAAGGCACAGCAACACCATGTACTATTTAGTTGTACACCTAACATTCAAAAATCAAGAAAATTTTGACTGGTGCTTGGGCGTAGTGGCTCATGCCTGTAAGCCCAGCATTCTGGGAGGCCAAGGTGGGCAGATCGCAAGGTCAGGAGTTTGAGACCAGGCTGGCTAACATGGTGAAACCCCCATCTCTACTAAAAATACAAAAATTAGCTGGGTGTGGTGGTGCACACCTGTAATTCCAGGTACTCAGGAGGCTGAGGCAGGAGAATCGCTTAAACCTGGGAGGCGGAGGCTCCAATAAGCCTAGATCACACAGCTGTACCCCAGCCTGGGCAACAGAGCAAGACGCCCTCTCAACAAAACAAAACAAAACAAAACAAAATTTTTCCTGGCTTAGAATTCTTAAATTTGGGCTGCCAGGTTGAAGGCATTCAAAAAGAGCTTAGCCAGGACTTCTTCACGTAAAAAATTAATTTTGGACATTAAATCCTCACTGTTGGAAAATTCTTGCCATGTGAACGACCTAAAACATATTCCAGGCCACATATGGACTTGACAAACACAATTGAAGTCCACTCTTTGGTCGTGTCACGGCAACGAGCAGTGAAATTCGGCAGCACCACATCCTGTGTGTCCTGGCATTTCACCTCTTTTGGAAGATTCCACAGAAAGTAAGCTCTAGTGGCTTCTTCAGATTAAAGTTTGGATAGGTTTTTCTTAGTAAACTCTCCTACTAAAATCTTTTGTTTTGTTTTGTTTTGTTTTGAGACAGAGTTTCATTCTTGTTACCCAGGCTGGAGTGCAATGGCGCGATCTCGGCTCACCGAAACCTCCGCCTCCTGGGTTCAGGCAATTCTCCTGCCTCAGCTTCCTGAGTAGCTGGGATTACAGGCACGCACCACCAAACCCAGCTAATTTTTGTATTTTTAGTAGAGACAGGGTTTCACCGTGTTGACCAGGACGGTCTTGATCTCTTGACCTCGTGATCCACCCGCCTCGGCCTCCCAAAGTGCTGGGATTACAGGCGTGAGCCACCATGCCCGGCCTCTAAAATCTTTAAATGTTGAAATCAAGCTTGAGCACCACACCATCCCCATCACACCTGAATTTGTTATGTGTCTCTGCAGCCCTCTCTCTGGGTATTTACATACAGATAAGTGTGTAAGTCTTACTCTCATTTTATGGCTGGAATAATCACATCATCTTGAGTAGAGTTTAAGGGCGGGACTGAGGATCCAACTTGGTCTTTCCAAATTGCAGGAATCTAGAAGGCAGCTGACATAAATTGAAGAGCCAGGGCTGGGCAGAGTGACTCATGCTCATAATCCCAGCACTTTGGGTGGCTGAGGTGGGCAGATCACTTAAGGTCAGGAGGTCAAGAACAGCTTGACCAACATGGTGAAACCCTGTCTCTCCTAAAAATACAAAAGTAGCCAGGCGTGGTGGTACACACCTCTAATCCCAGCTACTTGTGAGGCTGATACAAGAGAATTGCTTGAACCTGGGAGGCAGAGGTTGCAGTGAGCTGAGATCGCACCATTGCACTCCAGCCTGGGCAACAAGAGCAAAACTCTATCTCAAAAACAAAACAAAACAAAACAAAAAAAAAACCTCACCAAAGCAAAAGTAAATAAATAAAAAGAAAAATAAGAAAAATAATAAATTGAAGAGCCCAAGAATCATGCATCGCTTGAGTGGCCCGAACAAGACAACAACCCACAAGATTGCACCATTCATTTATTTACTAATCAGAATCAGACATCTACTGAGCAGCATCATGCCAGGTGTACACAGCCACGTGTGAGGGTCGACCACAGGTTGCCGTGGAGCCTGGAGGCTCTGCACCTGCTGCTTCTAGACACTCGCTGCCTCCCTGCACTGACCAGGCTGGCTCTGTTGGGTCTCTCAGCTCTCAGCTCAACCCACTCTAAGTGGGTCACCCTCCCTGCCAGCTACCACCCCCTCCCGATGATCCTCTTAGTTGCCTCAGAACACTTAAGATCCTTCAACTGGTTAGCTTGTTCTCTTTTTCCTCTGTAATATGGTTTGGCTCATCTTGAATTGGAATCCCTATGTGTCAAGGGAGGAATCTGATGGGAGGTGATTGGGTCATGCAGGCGGTTTCTCCCATGCTGTCCTTGTCACGAGTTTTCACAAGATCTGATGGTTTAAGTGTTTGGCACCTCCCCCTTGCTCTCTCTCCTCTACCACCGTGTTAGATTGGTTCCTTGCTTTCCCTTCACCTTCTGCCAGATTGTACGTTTCCTGAGGCCTCCCCAGCCATGCAGAACTGAGTCAATTGACCGACTTTCCTTTATACTTACCCAGACTCAAGTAGCTCTTTACAGCAATGTGAAAAGGCACTGATGTGACAGCCAGAACCTGGCTGGGTCACTGCTGTCTCCCAAGTGCCTAGAACAGGCCCTGATATGGTTTGCATCTGTACGCCCACCCGGATCTCTTCCCTTGTAATCCTTCATGTTGGAGGTGGGGCCTAGTGGGTAGTGACTGGATCATGGGCATGCATGTCTCATGAACCAGCCCTCTTGCTACTGTCCTCACCATAGAGTGCAAGGGTTCCTGTGAGATCTGGCCGTTTGCAAGTGCATCGCTCCGGTCCCCTCCCCTCGCCTCGCCTCTCCTCTCTCTCCACCCTGCTTTTGCCATATGGAATGCCTGCTCCCCCTTGTCTTCCACTATGAATGAAAATCTCCTTGAGGCCTCCCCGGAAGCAGATGCCTCCATGCTTCCTGTGCAGCCTGCAGAACTGAGAGCTAACGAAACCTTTATAAGTTACCCAGTCTCAGCTATTTCTTTATAGCAATGTGAGAATGGCCTAATAGAAGTACTCAAGAAAAAACAGAAAAATGGAATTCGTGCATTCCTTTAACATATTTATTGAGCATCTACTATATGCCGGGCACTGTTCTCAGCACTGAGGCAAAGGAATGGATGAATAAATGCATATCAAGTGAAAATCAACAGGCTTTTCTTTCCAGCCCAGTACATGAACTTGGCAATGTCCACTGTCTGCTCAAAGGCCTTGTTTCCATCTGCTCAGACTTTCCACTTTGTCTCAAGTATCTGAACTTGTCCTTGACTTATAATTCCCTTAATTAACATAACAAAAGAGACAAGCAAATCTTGTAGCAGACTGGGGTTAATGTTTTATTAATGATCACCTACATTCACACTGCATTTCTAAGATTTACATCCAAAGCGCATATTGTATTTACATGCACCGGTCAGCCCAAGATAGCAAATTCAAACCATAGCTGCGTTAAGGCAACGATTTGTTCCAAATTAAATTAAATACATAATACTCTTACCACCCCCCTTCGACAAGTACAATAAAACCCCCTTCTTCCTCCCCTCAAGGAGTAGACAATTGCATTGATAACTGCACTGATGAGCAACAATTACATTGGAAACATTTAAAACCTGAGACAGAAACCCAACTATGTGTAAGCACTCACATGTCTACACTCAGGTTCCTGTGTGAACCCTACAGTAACACAGATTGCTCAGTGGTCAATAGTGCATGATCTAACTGGCTAGACAGTGACAGACACCCGCTGCCGGCTATGGGCAGGAAGCGCTACAGTTGCCCTGGGCAGAGGGAGCCACGTCCCCCCAGCCTGCTTGACTTGTACGCCTTGGACAATCAGGGGCTTTTGTTTTGTTTTTGCTTTTGTTTTTAATTCTTCTTGCTTTAAGGAAAGAAAAAAAATCTTTGGCCCATGTAGGTGGTGTTTTTAACATCACGAAGTATACATACATAAAACATGCATGCGGGCCAGGTGCGGTGGCTCACACCTGTAATACCAGCACTTTGGGAGTTCGAGGCAGCTGGATCACCTGAGGTCAGGAGTTTGAGACACCAGCCTGACCAATATGATGAAACCCCGTCTCTACTAAAAATACAAAAATTGGCTGGGTGTGGTGGCAGGCACCTGTAATCCCAGCTACTGGGGAGGCTGAGACAGAATTGCTGAACCCGGGAGTTGGAGGTTGCCGTGAGCCAAGATCAAACCACTGCTCTCCAGCCTGGGCAACAAGAGGGAAACTCCATCTCAAAAAAAAAAAAAAAAAAAGAAAGAAAAACAAACAAAAATGCATGTGCTCTCCAGCAAGCACCTTCCACGACCTCCAGCAGTTCAGCCCGCACTGCTGTACTGTCTGTCACGTGCAGGACTCTGAAGGAGGCAGGCCCAACTCGAGCCAAGTGGTCAGAAAAATGAATATACAATTTAAAACAATGGACAGCTAAGCTTGTCACGACCGCCAGTGGGAATTTCACTCCATGATGCTTCGTTTTTGCATTAAATACTGAAAATGACTCGGTGCATAACTGCTTTGTGGTCAATGAGACGCTTTCTTGAAGGCACTCCTATCTGAAGGACAGGCTGAGTTAACTGAGCACCCTCACTCAAGACACCTTGGCGGGTCACCAAGGTAAGCCAGCACTGTCTCCACCACCCTCCAGTGAGTCCTCCTCCTGGCAGGGTGGCTGGAGACAACCCCCCAGGTCGTGGAGCCACTCTCTCCTCACCACAGGGGGCTGCCCTCCCCTTCCTCACACGCTGGTCCCTGCTCAGTGGCCAATGCCCCGCCCTCCTGGCTGTCACTTTGGGAAAGGGATCATCCTGAGACACGTCTCACATTTTATTCTTGAGTGGATTACCTGAATGTCCTTTTTCTGACACGTGCCTATTATTTCTTTTGTTGCTTCTGATGTCAATGTCCGGGGAGGGGAGTCCAGCCCAGCTGCCCTAGGAAGGAACGGGTCTTTCTGACGGGGAGGGGCTGGTGGGGTGCAGCAAACGCTTACTGAGGGTTATCCATACTCGGTCAATTGTGAAGGGAACAGTATACCCACAATTCCACCCAAAGACTCCACAAAACACACCTTTCACTCCATCTCCTTTACATTTAGGGGCTGTCATTTTTAAGGCACTGGGTTGTGAAGACGCAAAGACACACAAGGTCAGTGAAACTAAAGGCGTTGCTTCCTGCTTGCTTCGAATGTGGAGAGGCAAACACAGGCTCCTGGACCGGACGGGAACAGTCAACCGCGGGGACAAGAGCAGGTCTCCAAAGCACGTCATTTCGGTTAGTGCATTCCAGATGTGCTAGCTACGACTGCAGATACCACCAGCTTGGACAACACATTTGTCTTTGAACAGAACGAAAGTTGACACTGCCTGCGTGGCGCTGAATGCCCTTCTGTAGTAGGTTTTCAGTTGCCGCTGAGAAAGCACAGTTTCCATTTCCAGTGTGTGTGAAGCCACGACCCTACTAATTCCTTAATTAACCCGACAAGATTGAATCTCTTTATAAACACCAGCCGATGTGAAGACCTCAGGGGAGCCCTAACAAGCGCCCCCCAAGGGAGGGCGATCTGGAAGTAGTGGGGTTGCGCTTCACAGGGTCGAGCTGCTGTTCTAGGAAAACAAGAACACCCAACCTTTTCTGGAAGGAAAGCTTCTGAGTTTTCTTAAGAGCAATTTTTCATCCCGAACTAAGATCAGGATTAATGCCTACTTTTCATTTGGTTTGTATCAGAGGAGCTCGTCTTCCTTCACCGCAGCTCCAGGGGAATTACTTTTTGGAATTAGAACTTAGCCCGAACAAAGTGATGATGTCAATCATTGCTTCTCTCAGGTGCTTTCCAAAGCGATGAGAATCCTTTAATTGAAAAACAAAAACGTATTACAACATGGACATCCCCACATTTCAACCTTTTTCCTATGCAATCTGACCCAAAGTTTATCCCTTTCTGCCAGTTCTTTAAGATCTGACCTAATGTCTTAAAGCCTAACTTAGACATTCTGGAGAAATGCTGAGAGTAAAGAGATGACAGCTGACATGTTTGTGCAAGTGTGTTTTTGATCTACCTTCCCCAAATGCCAATGCATTTATCTCACAGAAAACACAATAACCAGCCCAAGCATGGTGGCTCACGCCTATAATCCCAGCACTCTGGAAAGCAGAGCTGGGAGGATTGCTTGAGCCCAGGAGTTCAAAGACCAGCCTGGGCAACATAGTGAAACCCCGTTTCTACAAAAAAATACAAAAAAACTAGCCAGGCATGGTGGTACTCGCCTGTAGTCCCAGCTACTCAAGAGGCTGAGGCAGGAGGATCGCCTGAGCCAAGGAGGCTGATGCTGCAGTGAGCCGAGATTGCACCATTGCACTCTAGCCTGAGTGACAGAGTGAGACTCTGTCTAAAAAAAACAGCAAAAGAAAACCACAACAAACAAATGAACCCCAACTTCCCGTGAACAGTGACAGTGGCATGGCTTGCCGGGCTACGTACAACGAGGAAAGCAGAATATAAATAAGGGCAATGTGCCACATGAGGGAGGGGGTCCCTTGTTCCATCCACAAAGGAAGCCGGGGTCCCCTGCTCTGCGGAGTATGCAGATTTCTTCGTGCGCACCCATTATTCTTAGTTCACCTTCCAAGCGTTAAGGAGTCTGCAAGTTACAGCAGCACTCCAACATTAAGCTTCAAAACCTCTGCTGCCAAGAGAGGTAGACATGTTAAACCAGGAGATACATTTCCTTTTTATTTTCCTGAGACAGAGTCTCGCTCTGTCACCCAGGCTGGAGTGCAGTGGCACGATCCTGGCTCACTGCAGGAGGCACAAACTCTGCCTCCTGAGTTCAAGCGATTCTCCTGCCTCAGTCTCCCCAGCAGCTAGGATTACAGGTGTGTGCCACCATGCCAGCTAATTTTTGTATTTTTAGTAGAGACGGGGTTTTACCATGTTGGCCAGGCTGGTCTCAAACTACTCACCTGAAATGATTAGCCTGCCTTGGCCTCCCAAAGTGCTGGGATTACAGGTGTGAGCCATCATGCCTGGCCAAGATATATTTCTTTAAAACTAAGTAAAGAGAATTTTGAAATTCATTTATGGTAGGGCATAGTGGCTGAAGCCTGTAATCCCAACACTTTGGGAGGCTGAGGTAAAAGGATCGTGTGAGCCCAGGAGTTTGAGACTAGCCTGGGAAACGTGGGGAGACCCTGCCTGTACACAAAATATTTTTTATTAAAAAATTTTTTTAAAGTCCATTTACGTGGAACTGCCCAAACCAGGCAAACGTACACAGTTGACTTGAAATGTTTTTTGTAAAATTCAAGATGTATTCCCTTAAAAAGAAAAAAGCAAAACTAGCCCATCTTCAGAAAAAGAAACTTCTTTTCATAGTTACCGTCTCAGGGCAAGAGAACTTGGAGGAAATGTGGAAATTGATGAGGTGCTCTCCCACGAGGATGTATGACACACCATAGCCGTCGTCAGCAACCTGGAAGACAAGGGAGTTTGAATTTGTTGCTGGGAAATGAGATGACGTGGAAAAGGGACTCTCTAATGTTTCTCTGTTTTTCTTTTTTTTCCCCCTGCAACAGAGTTTCACTCTTGTTGACCAGGCTGCAATGCAATGGCATGATCTCAGCTCACTGCAACCTCTGCCTCCTGGGTTCAGGAGATCCTCCTGCCTCAGCCTCCTGAGTACAGGCATGTACACCATATCTAGGATTATAGGCATGCATATCACACCTGGCTAATTTTTGTATTTTCAGTAGAGACGGGGTTTCTCCATGTTGGTCAGGCTGGTCTTGAACTCCCAACCTCAGGTGATCTGCCCACCTCAGCCTCCCAAAGTGCTGGGATTATAGGCATGAGCCACCGCGCCTGGCCAGAACTTTCTCATGTTCTAAATGCAATAATGGCCGGGCTTGGTGGTTCCTCCTCGTAATCCCAGCACTTTGGGAGGCTGAGGCAGGCAGGTCACTAGAGCCCAGACATTTGATACCAGACTGGGCAACATGGCGAAACGCTGTCTCTACAAAAAATAGAAAAATATAAAAAATTGGCCGGGCATGGTGGCATGCACTTGTAGTCCCAGCTACTCAGGAGGCCAAGGTGGGAGGATCACCTGAGATGGGGAATGCTGAGGCTGCCACGAACTGTGATCATGCTACTGCACTCCAGGCTGGGTGACAGAGCCAGACCTTGTCTCAAAAAAAAAATAAATAAATAAGGGCAAGACTGTTAAGGACATTCATAGCAGTGATCAGCAGCTATGCCTTTATGGCAGTAGCGCCGCAAGGTAACGGGGGCACCCAGAATGGAGACTGGCCCCTCCCTCCCATCACCCATGCCATCGTCACACCCCACTGCACCTCGCCCAGCCCCACCGCACTCACCGGTCCAAAGCCCCCTCCGCTAGACACGTACTCCGGGTTCCTCTCCAAGTCAAACAGCTCCACTTGCTGCTGAGGGGTCTGGCTTGTTGATAATCTCCAAGGCTCAGATAAAACCTGTTGAGTCAAACAGGGAAATATTCCAATAACACTTTTCCTAATTCCCTCCTCTTCCGTCCCTCAGGAGTCACCTTGGGAAGACAAGAAAAGCCTGGCTTGGTCTTTCGATTGTTCCAGACACCCTAAGTCTGTGTCTCTGAAGGCCTTGTTGGCTTGGGCAGCACATCTGTAGAGAGGATGCGGGGTGGGCGTGGCCCCCAGACTGGGGCAGGAAGTGCAGGCGGGGGTGTGCCTGTGGGTGTGTGTGTGCGTGTGTGTGTGTGTGTGTGTGTTCACGCGCATACCACAGCAAATAGTGTCTCAGACAGTGAAAGTAACAGATACAGCGACTAAGATTCAGAACGGGGGGCAGACATGTCAGACTGTACCAACTCCCGTGAGCCAACTGCCAAATTTTCGGAGCATTTTCAAGCTGGCTGTGAAATACAGCCACTATTAAAAATTAAATTTGCCAGTGGCTTATGTCTGTAATCCCAGCACTTTGGGAGGCCGAGGTTGGTGAAGGGCCTGAGCACAGGAGTTTGAGACCAGCCTGGGCAACACGGCAAAACCTGTCTCTACTAAAATACACACACACGCACACATTAGCCAGGAGTGGCAGTGTGCGCCTGTAGCCACAGCTACTTGGGAGGCTGAGGCGGGAGAATTGCTTGAACCCGGGAGGCAGAGGTTGCAGTGAGCTGAGATCCACCGCACTCCAGCCTGGCAGACAGAGTGACACTCTGTCTCCAGAAAAATAAATAAATAAATAAATAAAAATTAAATTAAATTTGAGCTGGGTGCAGTGGCACACACCAGCTACTCAGAAGGCTAAGGAGGAAGAACTGTTTGCACCTAGGAGTTTGAAACCAGCCTGGGCAACACTGTGAGACCCTATCTCAAAAAATAATAATAATACATTTCCTAAACTTACAATAAAATGAATGATTGTTAAAAACAAAGGTGGTAAGTCCTCACAGCTCATCACTCCCTAGTTACTTCCGTGCATTTCACTCTGACCTAAGCTCTCAAGGTCTTCAGGTCTATTAAGTCAGGGGGCTACAGCTGACAGCGAAGTGTGCCGAGTTATTGAAGAAACGCAGTACTAACACCGCTGCTCAAATTTCCTATTTTATGACTGCTACGCCCACAGACCTGTTTGTTTAAAAAATGCCCATTCCGCCATTCAAACAAATTAGTGTAAGATCGTACTAATGGCCGGGTGCGGTGGCTCAAGCCTGTAATCCCAGCACTTTGGGAGGCCGAGGCGGGTGGATCACGAGGTCAAGAGATCGAGACCATCCTGGTCAACATGGTGAAACCCCGTCTCTACTAAAAATACAAAAATTAGCTGGGCACGGTGGCGCATGCCTGTAGTCCCAGCTACTAGGGAGGCTGAGGCAGGAGAATTGCTTGAACCCAGGAGGCGGAGGTTGCGGTGAGCCGAGATCGTGCCATTGCACTCCAGCCTGGATAACAAGAGCAAAACCCCGTCTCAAAAAAAAAAAAAAAAAAAAAAAAAAAGATCGTACTAATTTACTAAGTTTTGGTCTAGTCAATAAAACTGAAGAAGACGAAGAGGCTTACTTCCTTGAGGAAAGGGGACTCCACAGCGAGATATTTAGACACCACGTAGAGGCAGAAGAGGTGACGATCGATCCCAGAGCCAGTCATGGCGAGGCGATACATCAGCTGATGCTTCTCAGATGCCAACTTGAACAATTTCAGCCTCTGTTCCACCTGAGTGAGAAGGCAGGAAGGACATATCTTGCTTGTCTCGAGTTGACCGGTTACGGATCTAAGTTTCCAAATGAAGGGAGGCCGGGCCCAGTGGTTCACGTCTGTAATCTCAGCACTTTGGGAGGCTGAGGTAGGTGGATCACCTGAGGTCGGGAGTTTAAGACCAGCCTTGCCAACATGGCAAAACCCTGTCTCTACTAAAAACACAAGAATTAGCCGAGTGTGGTGGCGGGTGCCTGTAATCCCAGCTACCTGGGAGGCTGAGGCAGGAGGAGGCACTGCAAACTCCACCTCCTGGGTTCAAGCAATTCTCCCGCCTCAGCCTCCCGAGTAGTTAGGACTACAGGCACCCACCACGACACCCAGCTAATTTTTTTCTATATTTTTGGCAGAGACAGGGTTTTACCATGTTGCCCAGGGTGGTTTCAAACGCCTGAGCTCAGGCAATCCGCCTGCCTAGGCCTCCCAAAGTGCTGGGATTGATTACAGGCGTGAGCCACCATGCCCAGGCTGACAGCCTTTCCAGAATGAAGTTTGTCTCAGAAAAAAGAACCCTGGTCTGTGTGTCTTCCAGGGGTCAGCAGGAAGCACCAGCATGCTGGCGTCAGGTGGACCCGGTGGCCTGGGTCTGACCTCAGCCACTATGAGCTGAGTGCCCCAGCAGCTGCCAGATTCATCTAGACCTCTCTGTCTATGGAAATGAGTGATGACACTTCTCAGGACCACTGCTAAGAACTTAAAGGACAGTGTACAGAAAGCCCCCAGGCCCCAGCCTGGCACTTGGGGCCCAGCGTGGCAACGGCTCTAATAATCAATGCGAGGTTTCCATGCGACGGTCACTGCTCTCCTACCCTGATGCCAACTACCTGTCCAGTTCTGAAGCGGCCACCTGCTACCCGTCCTCACTGCCATGTCCTGGTCTAACTTAAAGGCTCTCAGAAAGTAGAAGATGATTTGGAGAAGTATCATTTGTAACACGTGTCCCTGTACCTGTCCCTACCTTTACCTTGTAATACTTTTTGTTCCCTTGAAAGGGGCAGAGGGAAGAGGCTGAAATGAGCATCCCTGAAGAAGAAGGTACAGAACAAATGATGAGATCAGAGAAGCTGGAGTGACGGCCTCCAGATGTCTTTTAGGGAAGTGTGACAAGCACGCTGTGCCCACAGCCTGATGGCGCATTACCGTCTGAGCCGGGTCCACCATGGCCCGCACGAAGTCACACGACTCAGTGGTGCAGGAGCGCACTGTCTCCGTCCTCCCCTCTCGGAAGAGCCGGGTCATGGAGGCTTCGTATGTGAGGCAGAACTTGCCCATGTCCTGGGGAGAGAGAAGGTACTTTAGCACATGGCAGGGCAGGCTGATATGTCTAAAATGTACTGAAGGACTGGGGAGGTCGGCGAGGATAGTAGACTTTATCTTCAAGCTTTTTTTGAGACGGGTCTTGCTGTTGCCCAGGCTGGAGGGCAGGAGCATGATCACAGCTCACTGCAGCCTCGACCTCCCCCAGCTCAGGTGACCCTCCCACCTTGGCCTCCTGAGTAGGTGGGACAAAATTGTTTTCATTTTTTTGTAGAGATGGGGTTTTGCCATGTTGCCCAGGTTGGTCTTGAACTCCTTGCTCAAGCGATCCACCTGCCTTGGCCTCCCAAAGTCCTGGGATTACAGGTGTGAGCCACTGTGCCCAGCCTATTGTCAATTTACGTTTTCAGTCTCTAGCCACTTTCACACGTGAGCAGTTACGTGGCAGCAGACAGAGGTGTCACTGGCTTCAGGAAGCGCCTGGTGGAGGTGGGGGTCAGTTTCTAACCAGGTTTCTGTTTCAAGATACAACGGATACCATGACCACCCCCCTCCGCCCCCTGCAGTCCCACACACCTCTGCTGCATGCCGAAGCCACCTACAGGAGCAATGCTGTGCACAGCAGGGCATCTGCCTTTGAAATGATTTAAAGACACAGCGTATTGCCTGGAGCAATTCCACCATGTCTGGAAGATGGTGAGAATAACTGGCAGAGAGACTGTGCTTGGGTGCAGGAGGAATGTCCTTTAGCAGGAGGGCAGGAAGTGGGCGGGGGCTGGAGCTGGAAGCACAGCCACTGCCCCTGTTAGCCGGGGAGGCCTCAGGTCTCTTTGGAAAGCTCCTATTTTCTGGGTGAAACAGAGGAAAGGGGGCCTGCTGAGAGTTGGGCTGGGGAGGAGATGCTGGCAGCGAGTAAGCGATGTGATGTGGCATTTAGGGGTGTGGAAACGCGGTGCCTGGGCCCACTGGGGTCTGTGCTCATTCGTGGGGAAAGGAGAGAAGCCAGCTGTTGAATGCTTTTCTCCAGCTGGGCCAGCTCCTCGCAAGCAGAATCACAACAGCTGGAGAGCTGGGCTGAACCCGGGAGGCGCTGCAGGCTCCCCAGGCAATTCTAGGGGGACCAGGGAACCGAGGTAAGGGATGATCCCAATGGGCCATGGAACCACAGCCAGAGAGGAGGAAAGGGAGGGCGGGGATGGGGTCAAGGAACGTGGTCATCTGGGCCTGGAGAAGATGGCGCGGCAGAAGGGGCTGCTGGCCCCTGAGGCTGAGCCTTGGCAGAGATGCCGGGACAGTGCAGCAAGGGCCCCTGATGAGAACAGCAGATGTTGGAGAAGACAGAGACCAAGTCCCAGGGAGCACTCGGCCGCGGGAGGAACGGCACATGCACGATGCCCCAGAAGGGGGCCTGGGGCCACCGGGTCAGCTCAGAGGACCAGGTTCCAAGCAAGGATGGGAAAGGGATAAGCAGCAGTTTGTGGACCCAAATGATTCCTGACCAGACATATCCCTGTGCACCCTGGCACAGGCCCTGGTGACCCCAGGGTGGCAGACGGGCCAATCTGCAGAGGGCACCACGTGGTGAGCCGACACTGTCAAATGAACCCAGAAGAGGGTGCCACAGTCAAGGCTGGGCTCCCAGGCTGCCATCCAGACCCAGAAGTAGCAGTGCCTAGGCCTGGCCACTGCCGAGCTGGCAGGGAGTGTGTGCTGGACCCTGGAACCCGGCGAGGCCTGGAACCAGGAGCCAGAAGGAGCACAGGGCGTGCTCAGCTGGGGAAGGCCTGGCGCCTATGCACAGGCCCTGCTGAAGTCAGGCTCAGCGCAGCCAAGGTCTCTGGAGGAGAGGAGGACCCTGCAGAAGGAAGTGTCTTCCTGGTTACAGGACCAGGGCTCCGCGAAATGAGAGCGCGTCAGCCAGCAGAAAAAGGAAACCGAGGGCATCCACAAGAGCAGCGGCTCTGCAGAGGGAAGCATCTGGAGACCATGAGAGCACATCGGAAGCCAACGCTGAGCAGCGCATGCAGTGAGGATCTGGCTGAGCCCCCAGGATGCCCCCAGCACAGCGGGCCGCCTCGGGGAGCTCTCTCTCCCACCCCACAGATGCCACCGACCCTGGTGGCATGACAAGACACTCAAGATTCTCTCGGGGACAGGGGTCACAGGCCTGGGGCCTGCCATGAGGACAAGGGCCCTCCTGCTTCCCACGCTGACAGTGAATGTGCCTTTCAGAGCGCTTCCTGCATCTCCCTAATTCAGGGTGCTTCACGGGGGCTCATGATGGAGAAGTCAGGAGTGGGAAAGGGAGAGAAGCAGATATAAGGGAAAGCAGAAATGTGGCATTTTAGAGATTTAATAAAGGTAAACCTGAACTGTATGATGCAGTGATTCATCTGAAGTCTACGTTCCAATATCAAACTTCATGTAAGTTATGAGAATAGTCACGACTTTTTTTTTCTTTTTTTGAGACGGAGTTTGGCTCTTGTTACCCAGGCTGGAGTGCAATGGCGCGACCTCGGCTCACCGCAACCTCCGCCTCCTGGATTCAGGCAATTCTCCTGCCTCAGTCTCCTGAGTAGCTGGGATTACAGGCACGCGCCACCATGCCCAGCTAATTTTTTGTATTTTTAGTAGAGACAGGGTTTCACCTTGTTGACCAGGATGGTCTCGATCTCCTGACCTCGTGATCCACACGCCTCAGCCTCCCAAAGTGCTGGGATTACAGGCTTGAGCCACCGCGCCCGGCTTGGGAATAGTCACGACTTGTGCCCAGTTTAAAAGACAGTCATCTAAAAAACCTCTTGGCAAACACTGAATATTGGTGTGCAAGCCCCACGTGACCTCAGATGCCATCAAAGAGCCAAACCAGGTTATAACTGCGGCACTCCTGACCCACTTCGACCAGCCACCATCAGGAGGGTGGCCCTTCGCTGCCACCAAAACATCTGCAGTTTCTAAGAAGCAGGATCTAAAGACAGTCTATAGATATACTGACATATACGGCACCCCACGCTAGCACTGCCACTACGGGGATAACGCTTCAGCTTGGTAGGGCTGGGGATTTTTCACCTCTAGTTTCCCCCTCACCCCCCAAAAAATTCCAAAGTCAAAAAAAAAAGGAAGCAAATAACTGCAGACTAGAATTAAAACCACTGCCCAGTGTCAGCATTCAATCCACATTCAATATTCAATACTGCCTTACTGACGCTCCCGGCACGGGGGATAGTGTTGTGAGACCGATCACGCCCTTGCCCTCAGTGAGCACATGTTCCAGCAGGAGAGACGGGCGATGAACAAAAAATACATATCACATCAAGTCAGCTGCACCAAACAGAAATAACACAGGAACAGGAAACAGAGCAATGGGGGTAGGGCTACCTTTTTTTTTTTTTTTTTGAGACAGTCTTGCTCTGTAGCCCAGGCTGGAGTGCAGTGGAGTGATCTCAGCTCACTGCAACCTCTGCCTCCCTCCCGGGTTCAAGCAATTCTCATGCCTCAGCCTCCTCTGGGTAGCTGGAATTACAGGCACGTGCCATCACACCTGGCTAATTTTTCTATTTTTAGTAGAGACAGGGTTTCACCATGTTGGTCAGGCTGGTCTTGAACTCCTGAACTCAAATGATCTGCCTGCCTTGGCCTCCCTAAGTGCTGGGACAACAGGCATGAGCCACTGCGCCCAGCACAGGTAGGGGCTACTTTAAAAAGGAGGTGGTAACATCACTGCTCTAACCAATACATCTCCTTGGGGAGATGTGAACTTGGTTGGGAAATATATCATTATTTTAATTTCCAGTAAGCTCCAACTGGAAGACAGCATTTAGAAGCGCAGGCAATAAACCACAGTATTCACTGGCAGTGCCTGTGACTTTGACTAGAAAATCACAGGTGTTTTCATGTTCAAATTAGGTTTGTGCAGTATCTATCCCAACATTTTATGTACTCAACACTACTTCAATATTACGGCAGTTATCAGACCTACCGCCCGATATTATGTAATGCGTCAATGAAGAATTAGACGGCTGGGTGCAGTGGTTCACGCCTGTAATCCCAGCACTTAGGGAGGCTGAGACGGGCAGATCTTGAATGCTGGGAGACAGAGCGAGACTCAGTCTCAAAAAAAAAGAATTATATTTACTGTGCCACAAATATATGTTTAATATTTTGGTATATGGACTTTAACTGATTGCTCTTGTAACCTTGTATATTTCATTTTATGCTTTTTTTTTTTTTTTTTTTGAGACGGAGTTTCGCTTTTGTTACCCAGGCTGGAGTGCAATGGCGCGATCTCGGCTCACCGCAACCTCTGCCTCCTGGGTTCAGGCAATTCTCCTGCCTCAGTCTCCTGAGTAGCTGGGATTACAGGCACGTGCCACCATGCCCAGCTAATTTTTTGTATTTTTAGTAGAGACGGGGTTTCACCATGTTGACCAGGATGGTCTCGATCTCTCGACCTCATGATCCACCCGCCTCAGCCTCCCAAAGTGCTGGGATTACAGGCTTGAGCCACCGCGCCCGGCCTCATTTTATGCTTTTTAAACATTAGTCTGAGAGGTGGTCCCCAGCCTCTCCCAGGTTGGCCAAGGGGTCAGGGCAGAAAGAAGGTTCAGATGCCTGGAGGAGACCCTCCGGGCCACAGCAGAGCTTTTGTACTGATGCAGAACCACAGGGATGCCCCGCAGCTCCCAGTGGGTGGAGATGGGTCTGAATGTTAATTTTTGAATGACTAAATCTGATGTATAGTTTTAATAAATTACTTTAATGGATCCATCATTTTTATTTTATTTTTCATTCTTTTGAGACAGAGTCTCACTCTGTCACCCAGGCTGGAGTGCAATGGCGCGACCTCAGCTCACTGTAACCTCCGCCTCCCAGGTTCAAGGGATTCTCTGGTCTCAGTCTCCCAAGCAGCTGGGATTACAGGCACCTGCCACCACGCCCAGCTAATTTTTTTGCATTTTTTGGTAGAGAGGGGGTTTCACCATGCTGGCCAGGCTGGTCTCGAACTCCTGACCTCAGGT